TGTTGCTAGCAATCTCCATCTATTGCGAAGCGACATAATCTCCTTAGGTTGCTTCGCAATAGCTTGCTGTGTATTGAAGAAGGCCCGGATGCATATGTAATTAGTAAATTCTCTGCTTATGTACGACAAATTATTCCAAAAATGTTGCACTGCAATCTCTCTGAGGGCGGACATAGCAATGTTGCTGGAATATTGCAATCTTGCAATGTAACATTTCTGCAATCTTCCTGTGCTGTGTGGAAAGACATAACTGTTAACACAAAAATCAGCTCGAAGGCCCGCAACCGAGTCTAACTGCCGCTTTGTGCAACGCTCACGTGGCAAAGAAGTCGACGATGACGGGTACTTTGGAGTTCATCACGCGCTCGTGGAAATCCTTGTTATCCTGAACCTTAAAGGTGGCGGACACCACTTGCTCCTGCGCAGGTGCAGTGGTGTACAGCCTGCTGCCCAGCATGGCCCTGCCGGTGCGGATTGTTTGAACTCCTAGGCGCTGCATCTCCTTTGGCTTCTCGGTCGTCCGCTGATAAATAAAACGCAAAATTGTCAAGTTACATGTTGAAACTGAACCGCCTACCTCTCGGCGTCCTCTCCTCTCACAGTCAAGTTCTCTTAACTCTCCCTACAGCTTTGCTTTCCCGAATTGGTGTCTCGCAAATTTCATCCCGTGACAAGGTTTCCTCCGGCAGGCCAAAAGGTCTGCGAATTCTAAACAACGCGTGAGAGTGGCTTGACATCTACATGTCACCAGCTAGATTTGGTAATAGAAGATAGCTCGCTACGTCATTTGAAAGAAATGTCTTGAGGAGCCTTCGCGGAAAATAATGCCCGTCGACATTGGATGCGGCGCCCGTTGTTTCCTCACGCGAAAGAAGGTTCCTTCGACCTGGACCGCCGATTGTTTTTTCTACGCCACCCTGTGTGTGTCCCGTTGACGAAAAGACTGCGCGCAATTGCGTCGACTACGGTTCTCCGCGCGCTCACGTGCCCGACGTGTTCTCGAGTCGACACGTTAACTTGCGGATATGCCCGTGTTGCTTTTCTCTTCTATCAGTAGCCAAATCTGTCGCGTTTCCGAGAGTTTGTGTGACACTCACCGACAATACGCCGATAACCTATTGTCAGTTTCGTGCAGTTTCGTGGCGAGACTTTTTGGCGGCCAATGACGAAGTGACGAGACTGACGAGGACAGATTTTATCGCGCGCACGCGCAGCAAGATCGATGGCGACAGCGGAGTTTCAGGCTGGTATTACATTTGTCGTACGACAAAGTTTTTAAGCGTATTGATTGGCTGAAGGATAGTAAAATTCTCGAGTATCTAGAAACTTTCTATTCAGCGGCCAATCGACACGCTTGAAAAATTTGTCGTACGACAAATTTTTCAAGCCTCAGCCTGCGCTCGAGTTTATTCTCTGCCCGTGCGCAAGAGCACAACATTTGGTGTCTGTTCTTTCTAGCTGAACTTGCTGCACCAGTACGAAGTTTTTATCTCTCTCTCTCTCTCTCTTTCGCCAATGTGTAGCGAGGGAAGAAGAAGCGTAGGAAGTGCGGCACATTGCAATCCAATAATAATAGTGCAATTCCTGCGATGCGAGGATGCGTTTTGACTGATTGAAACGTCCAGTTGCTGATTATTATATTTTTAGCGAAATATTTATTGAATGCACTGTCAAGCTGCTTATACCACATTGAAATATATAATATAGTCTTTGCGGCACCGAGTGCCGAGTCGGTGCACCGACTGAACCGACCGAATTTAACTGTAAGGAACAGAAGGAGACGTAAACTGTTTACTGTTCACTCGTTTACATTCGCGTCGAGACGCAGGACTCTCGCAGACCGGGCAGAAGCGACAGAGAATTGTACTCGGCTAGATCAGAGGCACAAGTGCGTAGGATCCAAGTAACTTTTAAGCTTTTAACCTCGGGAGAGTGCGGGAGGTTATATTTTGAGTGTGGACTTGATCAAGGCGAAAACGTACAGTCAGTATGATCGGACAGATTTACAATGCCTGATCTACAGTGTGCTCTTTGCGTCCAGAAACGTTCGGTTTTATACAAGCAAATCAAAACGCTTAAAAAAATTCGTCGACGAAGTACGATTGCACAATGTATAATGTACAATTTGTCAAGTTGCAAGGATTTTTTAAACGCGCGTATTGGCTACGAGGTAGAATGTTTCTAGACGCGAAGAGCACAGTTTAGATTAGGCTTTAATGCTCGCTTGGCTCGTCAACATATCACATTAATTATTTAACGAGGATTGAAAACAATGACTCAATTAACAGGGTATACTTTTGACGTTGCTGGCTCAGGACCCGAGCAGAGTGGCTGTCTTGCACTCTTAAGACACGAGGCAGCTGTGCGTTACTTTAAGACGAAGATTTAAGAAACATTGTCCTCAGAGTACAAGACAGCCATTCTGCTCAGGTCCTAAGGCTTATCTACAGTCAATTCCTATATTTAAGGATCGTCTCGAGTACTTTTTTAAATACTTAGCCAGTAAAATCCGAATAGCATTCGTACGCATCATTTTTTTCTGCTAAATAAATTTGGAACGTGTACTTGAGATGACCATAAATATAAGAGTAGACTCTGAATGAACCTTGGTATGCACTCGGTGTGCACTAGTGCAAGCTGCCGAATTCGCTATTAAGAGTACAAGACAGCCATTCTGCTCAGGCCCTACGCCAACATTGGGACGGTCAAGGAAAGAGAAAATCCTGGCGAGGGACGATCCGTAAACTGATTCAAGTTAAACGCGAAGGTCCAAGTGGAATTGTCAGCTCGCTGTGGCGAGAAAGCGAAACGAACCAAAAGCCTGTGAGTAAAACTGCAAAATTACGGGAAGAGCGCGTCCCAGGATGGAATCCGATAAAAGAAATCTTTCCAAACTTTTTAAGGTGCATTTATACAGGGTGAAGAAAAAGTATGGAAACCCTGAAAAATCTCAAAAATATAAGTTTAAGACAAAAATGTTTCGGACAAAAGTTGTTCAAGATAATGGGGGTGACCTATCTGTGTAACTAGCTTTGACCTT